TCAGTTGAACATAAATCAGTGGATTTATTTCTGGGCTCTATATTCTGTCCCATTGGTCTATATGTCTTTATGCTAGTACCATACTATTTTGATTACTATAACTTTGTAATACATTTTGAAATCAGTCAGTGTGATGCCTTCAGCGTTGTTCTTGTTACTCGAGACTGCTTTAAGGTCTTTGTGGTACCATGTGAATTTAGGATTGTTCTAGTTCTGTGAAAAATGCCACTGGAATTTTGATAGGGATTACACTGAATGATATGGATAGAATGGACATTTTAAGAATGTTAATTCTTCCAATCCATGAATACAGCTTATCTCTCCATTTATTTGTGTCTTCTTCAATTTCTTTCATCAATGTTTTTGTCGTTTTCATTGTATAGTTCTTCCTTCTCCTTGGTAAAATTTATTCCAAAGTTAAAAAATATATATATATATATATATATATATATATATATATTTATTTATTTATTTATTATTTTGGCTGCACTGGGTCTTAGTTGCAGTGTGCGGGATCTTCGTTGCGGCATGCAGGATCTTCAGTTGTGGCGCGTGGACTTCTTAGTTGCAGCATGTGAACTTTTAGTTGTGGCATGCATGCGGGATCTAGTTCCGTGACCAGGGATCAGACCTGGGCCCCCTGCATTGGGAGTGCAGAGTCTTATCCGCTGGACCACCAGGGAGGTTCCTGTTGTTTTTTTTTATGCTATTGAAAATAGAATTGTTTTCTTTATTTCTCTTTCAGATATTTCGTTATTGTATAAGAAATGCCACTAATTTTTGTATGTTGGTTTTGTCTTGCAACTTTACTGAATTTGTTTATTAGGTTTTAAAAAATATTTTATTTATTTATTTATTTGGTTGTGCCAGGTCTTAGTTGCGGCTGGTGGGCTCCTTAGTTGTGGCATGAGAACTCTTAGTTGCGGCATGCTTGTGGGATCTAGTTCCCTGACCACGGTTTGAACCCGGGCCTCCTGCATTGGAAGTGCGGAGTCTTAACCACTGCACCACCATGGAAGTCCCATGAATTTATTAGTTTTAATAGTTTCTTGGAGGAGTCTTTAGTGTTTTCTATATATAACATCATGTCATCTCTGAACAGAGACGATTTTACTTTTCCCTTTCCGATTTGGATACCTGTTATTTCTTTTTCTTGTCTGATTGCTCTGGCTAGAACTTCTAATACTGTGTTGAATGGTGAGAGTAGGCATCCTTGCCTTGTTCCTGATCTTAGGGGGAAAGCTTACACCTTTTCACTGTTGAGTATGATGTTAGCTGTGGACTTGTCATATTACAGCCTGTATCATGCTGAGGTACATTCCTTCCATACCTGATCTGTTGAGCGTCTTTATCATGAAAGGATGTTGTATTTGTCAAATGCCTTTTCTGCATTTACTGAGATAATCATAGGATTTTTTCCTTCACTTTGTTAATGTGGTGTATCACATTTATTGACTTACATATGTTGAACCCTCCTTGCATCCCAGGGATAAATTTTACTTGCTCATGATGTATGAGCCTTTTAATGTGCTGTTGAATTTGGTTTGCTAGTATTTTGTTGAGGATTTTTGCATCCTTGTTCATCAGGGATACTGGCTTGTAATTTTCTTTTCTTGTAGTGTCCTTATAGGCTTGGTATCAGGATGATTCTGGCCTTGTAGAGTAAGTTTGGAAGTGTTCCCTCCTCTTCAGTTCTTTGGAAGAGTTTGAGAAACACTGGTGTTAATTTTTCCTTAACTGTTTGAATACTGATTCAGTCTCCTTATTCAGATTTTCTCTTTCTTCAGATTGAGTCTTGGTAAGTTATATGTTTCTAGGAATTTGTCCATTTCTTCTAGGTACTCCAACCTGCATTTAATATTATAGTTATTACTTTCCAGTATTAGGGGATAGTGGTGTGAAAATGGCTTTCACGTCAGATCTATGTTGAAATCCCAGCTTCACCACTTAGAGTGTCCATAGTCTTGGGTAGCGTTTCATCTCTGAACTTGTGTCTTCATCCCTGTCATGGGGATACTGCTTTTAACCACACTGGCTGAGTGAGGGTTAGACGTCATAGGAAAGCCCTTGGCACATAACCCAGTTCTTGGTAAGTGCTGAAAACAGGGAGTTGTGGTGCTGTTGTGATTGTTTAAAATATTCAAAAACATGTTTTTAATGGCATTGTATTATCAAGTGAAATGCTATACAAAAGTGAAAAAAAAAACAGTAAAGGAATAGAGTTTGTGTGGAAAAAAATCAGTTATAAGGTTACAATTGAAACACTTCCCCCCAAAACCTAGAAAATAGACATTTTGGTGGACTACGTGAATATAGAAATCGATTAACAGGCTTCCATTTTTGCTACACAGCATCTAAATGCGGGATAAATTAGAACACACATACTTTTCACAATTTAAACTTATTGAAGTATAATATACATGCTAAAGAAAATACTCATTGTAAGCATACAACTCAATGAATTTCCACTGTGTAAGAAACTTGTGCAACCAGCAACAGTGTTACCAAGCATTTCCAGAAGCTTCTAAAGGCCACATCCCCCAAGTGACTGGAAAGTCTCTCCCTACCAAGAATAACCAACTACCATCCTGAGTTCTATTGCCTTAGCGTATTTCCCCCTACGTTTGAATTTGAATTTGTTATACCTATGGGGAATATGGCTTGTTTTGCTTAGTGTTATGTCTGTGAGATCCATCCACGTTGCGTGGGGCAGGAATTTTTTCATTTTCCTTCATTGTCCCTCTGTAGCCCTTCTCATCTATGGATTCTGCCGGAGTATTAAGCCCTAAAGTCCAAAGTGATCCATCATATGTAGCTGAATTAATTTCTGTCCTGTGAGTCTAGGATGGTAGTAGCCTTGTAATACCTTCGGGAGAACTGAGAAGATGCCCACTCAAATCATGTTCCGTGGAGGTTCATCTCTCATAGAGTCCCAGGAAAGACCGGGAGCTTTAGCTTTTCTGGTTTTTTGTCGTCCCCCCCTGCCCCCTGGTACAGTGAGGTCGGGCCTCTCACTGTTGTGGCCTCTCCCGTTGCGGACGCGCAGGCTCAGCAGCCATGGCTCATGGGCCCAGCCGCTCCGCGGCATGTGGCATCTTCCCAGACCGGGGCATGAACCGGTGGACTCTCAACCACTGCACCACCAGGGAAGCACAGCTTTTCTGGTTTTTGTGGTCTAGCAGCTCTCCAGTGTCTTCTAGCGGATGACTTCTGGAAGATAACAGTTAAATTATCTTATCTGGCTTTTTTTTTTTTTTTTTTTTTTTTCTCCGGGGGGGTGGTTTTTTGCTGCAAGCTCCTCCATCCCACCTGGAGGTGGAAGGAAGTCTAGCAAATGCATAGCTGGGCTCCTAAAAAGAGGAGGGAAAGTCCCAGGGCCAGATAAAGGGGAGAGGGAGAGAAGGAGCTGAAACCCCAGAGGTAAAATAACACAAGCCAGGGCTGCCCCAAAGCGTAGAAATCTGGACCCAGAGCCTTGGATTTTGAGTAGCCGGTGAGGGAGAGCAGGAGCCAAATGTTTTTTTTTTTTTTTTTTTTTTTCTCCCGGGGAGTGCTGGTTTGCTGCAAGCTCCTCCATCCCACCTGGAGGTGGAAGGAAGTCTAGCAAATGCATAGCTGGGCTCCTAAAAAGAGGAGGGAAAGTCCCAGGGCCAGATAAAGGGGAGAGGGAGAGAAGGAGCTGAAACCCCAGAGGTAAAATAACACAAGCCAGGGCTGCCCCAAAGCGTAGAAATCTGGACCCAGAGCCTTGGATTTTGAGTAGCCGGTGAGGGAGAGCAGGAGCCAAAGCCCTAGACCCAGGCCGGGAGGGCCGCCAGGACTGTGTCCCTCTCCTCGGCTCGTAACAGCAGCCTGTCCAGTGCTCTGTTCTTGAGTGAAAGAGTGGGCCAGGAAATAGAGCCCTCCTAACGGCAGTAAAACGTGTCTTAGCTATGGGAGGAGTCAGTGTGATTTTTCTGCTGAAGATCTCATCCTTAGCCTCTCATCACAGGCGTTTGGTGTTTGCAATTAGACTACCTCTGAAGTCCAGGAGCTCCAAGTCTAGAAATAAAAAGTTACCCCTCACACAAAGAAACAAACTGCTAGGAAAGTCAGCAGAGATGACCAAGGACAGAATTAGGGGTTTCAGAGCTCCTCAGTATGTTGTAAGAGGGCTATATTTAAAATGAAAGAAACAACGGATAGAGTTTTAAAATATGAGCAAGAAACAAAACTACCATTAATGACTCTGTGGATTTGAGGAAGAACCAAATCCGAGTTTTAGAAAAGTACTTAGCATAATGCCTTGCATTCAGGAGCTACTTAATAACTGTGCACATTTGGGCAAATAATTCTCAATATAAAACTCATGACTTTACACAACGTGAAGCGTCTTTGTGGAACCTCAACTTTAGAAGTACTCGCTAATAACATTGTCCCGTTGGCCCTAAAATTTGTTGACTGAGTTGACATTGGAATCACCATCTTGAGATAGTTTCAAGTAACGTTCAGATATTCCTGTTGTCCTGCAGTGGGAGGAGCCGGTTACACTAAAATGCCTAAGAAGGTTTATATAAATGAGTGTATTCTTGGAGCAGCTTTGGCCTCTTCTCCCTCCCTCTATGCCCCCCACCCCCGCCTCCATGTTTTGAGTGCCTACTGGATGCCAGGCCTTGTACTTGAAAGAAGCATGGGAGGATGACTAAGACACTGTTCCTCCTTTCCTGGAATCCACATTCCACAGGCCATCGAGTCTGCCCCCGGGACCCTTACAAATACACTGGAATGAATCGAATCTATTGTGTGTTTCCTTCTGCAAAATTGTTGCCATATTATGAGTTTCTGATGAGTCTTCTTCAGCTTTTGGAGCAAGAACACAGCTGTCTGTATTACTGAATATATAGAAACGTTGGTTAGGTAGCAGGGAACTAGGTAACCATAGTTTTCCAAGCAAATGAATAGGTTAACTAATCAAGTTAACTTCTCCATGTTACTAATTCCACCACTGCAAATCCTTTTAGGATGATGTGAGGCATAAGGTTCATCTGAACACCTTTGGATTCTTCAAGAATGGGTACATGATGGTGAATGTCAGTAGTCTTTCAGTGAATGAACCTGAAGGAGCCACAGACAAGGACGCAACTGTAAGTGCCTTTCCAGGAGATCTTTTCTGTTGCTTAGGTGAAAGCTTCACCCCGTACTTAAATATGAAGTATCAGAATGTAGAGAAAATTAAACGTGTGAGCGGGTGTCAGATAGTTTTATTCTTAACAGTTAAGTTGTAATTCTTGAATAATTTTAGTAACAACTGATCCTTCTTACAAAATGAATGCTAAGGAAACCAAGAGGTGGCCAGGCCAAAAGAGTCACCTTTCTGCTCTTGGAGTAATGACGGTAAGGGCGCCCGGGCATCATGTGGTTATTTACTTCCATTGTTTTTACCTCCTCTTAGATTGGATTCAGCCTAGACCGCACAAAGAATGATGGATTTTCTTCTTATCTGGTGAGCATCAAATGCATGACCTGATGACTCCCTTCACTTGAACCCAAGACACTGGGTGGAAACACCCCGCTTCCGTCAGTGCTGTTTTCTTGAGGTGGTAGCGGCTTTGACTTGCAAGCATCTCTGAGCACCCACAGTTGTGTTATTTGAATGGAGTCTGGGCCACTTATTTGCTTAGTTCCTGAAAACGTTTTGTTCTTACTCTAGTGTGAATGAATAAGGTGGTGTATAATTGGGTCTTCCTTTCTCAGGATGAAGATGTGAATTACTGTATTTTAAAGAAACAGTCTGCCTCTGTCACCCTTCTAATCCTAGACATCTCCAGAAGTGAGTAAGTAATTTTACTAATCCTTCAGTTCAATCCTAGAGTAAAGTTAGGGGGAACTTGGTAGTTAAGTTACCATTTATTGTCTGCCACATGCCAAATATTTTGCTGAGTGCTGGAGATTAAAAACAAGATGAGGAAGACAGAGGTCCAGTCCTGGAGGAGCTTCTTGATGGGTGAGGGAGACGGAAGAGCAATACCGGCGATCGCAGCGAGCTAGAGGAGTAGTAGAGCAGAGAGGCTGAGGATGGCAGCAGAGAAGGAAGGGAAGGTGCGGCCACCCTTCTCATGAGTAGACTTTACAGATGAATAAGAAAGGGAAGAGCATTTTAGGCAAAGGGAACGTGATATACAAAGGCAGTGTGGTGTGAAATAGCATGGTGTGTTCAGTGAAGTGAGCGCATTGTCTGCATCCAGATAAGGGGAAGAGAGGAAGGCTCCTCCCCGTTCAGTGCTAGACATGCTCCCCTTGGTACGAGTGATGGTGCCAGCTGAGGTTGCGTGTCCACTCAGGCATGGGAACTTGCTGGTTCCTCCTCAGGCGGGATGGGGCAAACAAAATTGCGGTCTGGTAAGCAGGGGGAAGGGAGGAAATGCATATTAGCTGGGCTACTAATAATGCTCACTGCCCCTCGCGTGCTCCCCAAGGCTTCACTTTAACATCTTACTGGGGTTTTATTTACCTCTTGTTCCTTTTCCCTCGTACACCAATTTGTTGAACACATTGCACATACTTAGGGGAGAATGTGTACCTCAGAATTGTATGGTTGCTACGAACTTAAGCTTTAGAGTGAGACTGCCCAGGTCCTCGCCCAGCTGCTCACTAGCTTACTACTCTTGGGCACGTTCTTTAACCTTTCTGAGCTTTCATTTCAACATCTGTAAAATGCGGATAATAGAATCTGCATCATAGGACATCATGGGACTGCATGAGATGATGGATTTAGAGCTGGAAACAACACCAACTTATAACACTTACTGGCCATAAGCATTACTTTGAACTCCTTTTCTTCTGTCTTGTTTGAATATAGAGTGCGAATAAGATCTCCACCAGAAGCTGGTACCCAGTTACCAAAGATCATCTTCAGCAAGGATGAGAAAGTCCTTGGTCAGAGCCAGGAGCCTGGTGTTAACGCTGTTTCAGCAGGCAGCCAGACTCAGAAAAAACAAGGTAAACTGTGAGGTAGAAGCTAGCATTTTCTTCACTACCCTGATTTGTAGATTCTTTTTTGTTCCTAAGTAAAAACAAATATGATCTTAGCATTATTTTATTTTTGAGGTGATATAAAAATATGTAACAAAGAAAAATGTGGAAAAGATGGGAGAAGAAATGTGATTTCTCCTTATTCCCTGTGTTAGAATTTTAGTAATTTATATTTCCTTCTAAACTTGTTTCCTAAGTCTAGACTATTTGATTTTTAAAACTCATACACGTTTATAATTTTATAAGCATCCCTGTTCATTCAACTTTAAGTTATATCATACTTATCAGTTATCCCATTAAATGGATACTGTAATTTGCTCAGCCTTTCCCCTTAAAGAGACATATTTCAACCTTGATGCTATTATATTAAAACATTGCTACATCATACATTGTTATTTGTAGATTTTTTTTCATATGTAGAACTTTCTTTAGGATGGGTTCCCAGAATTGGAATTTCTGGTTCAAAGGATATGAATACTTTTGAGAATATTGATACATATTTTCATTCCTCTCCACATGAGTGGTGTGAATTTATACTCCTGTTGGGAAATATATAAGAATAGTGCCCACGTCACCATGTCCTAAGACAATACTGTGTTTTTGGTTTTGTTTTGTATTTTAAATTCTAAAGTGAAAGGCAAAAAGGTATTCTTGATTTTGAAGTCACTTTTTTTTAAAAAAATTAATTAATTAATTTATTTATTTTTGGCTGTGTTGGGTCTTCGTTTCACTGCGAGGGCTTTCTCTAGTTGTGGCAAGCGGGGGCCATTCTTCATCGCGGTGCACAGGCCTCTCACTGTCGCGGCCTCTCTTGTCGCAGAGCACAGGCCCCAGACGCGCAGGCTCAGTAGTTGTGGCTCACGGGCCTAGTTGCTCCGCGGCCTGTGGGATCCTCCCAGACCACGGCTCGAACCTGTGTCCCCTGCATTGGCAGGCAGATTCTCAACCACTGCGCCACCAGGGAAGCCCTGAAGTCACTCTTATTACTGAGGCTGCTCTTTTCCTCCATATGTTGATTAACCAATTTATATTTGTGACCTCTTTCATTAACCGTTAGGTTTATCTAATAATTTATATGAGTGCTTTAAAGATAACGATTTATTGTATTATTTATGTGTCTTTTTCTCGGTTTGTCAAAATTCTAACCCAGATTAAAAGAAGTGCAGAAATGTTACATTTGTGTGATGACGTAGTTTCACCTGTGTGCACCATCTCCTCCTCATCCAGGTTCCTCAGGCTCACGTAACCATTCCCTGGGCAGAAAATCTTCTTTTCCTTTTTATTCTGAAACTCTCTCCCTTCCTGCAGGGAGTTTGAGATGCTGTCTTCCTCACGAAGAGGGTCTTAAGTAAAAATAAGACACAGATGCCCTCTCTGTTCATTGAAAGAAGTCATTAGCAATTTCTACACTCCTTGCTGTGGAAATAAAAATAGCATGCTTTATGCTAGTATTATTTCCTATTTTTCCGTGTATATAAATAAATCTCATATATTATATATATATGTATTTTAAACGATCTGTTTTCAAATGTAATTACTTAGAAGATAAGGAAGTCATTCCACGTGGTATCTCTGACAGTAATGTGCACTAGGTTATTTAGAGATGATTTCCCTTGTCTGTACTGAGTATTATCATTTATTAGATTGCATTTATAATAGAACAGGTTGCCATTTGCGGCTTCTACAGCTCAGGAGTGTTTGGGGTTCTAAGCAGATGGCATTTCACAAGATGGCACGTGGCCTCACCGTTTTGATTGTTTCAATTATTTGATATTAGACGAGCTAGAGTCTCATAAAATGATACTGTAATGTACATATGAGCTGAATCATGCAATAATAGCTCTTAAATGGTTCTGCTTCTAGACAGTGGAAAGCCTGAAAGAAGTACAGTGGATTCAAAGGTAAGAAATAACCTGACTTACGCTCTCAGCTTTCCTGGGTGTAACATGTGTGTGTGTGTGTGTGTGTGTGTGTGTGTGTGTATAGGAACGTATATACATATGTACACACACAGGTGCGCACACATACATCGGTGTGCCGGATCTACAGGGTGTTGCCTTCTGTTTGGGGAGATAACTTAGGCACTCGGAAACAATTTCAAAGTAAGACTGAGTGCTGAACTATACAGCACTTACATGATAGAGGCTCTCATAGTGAGAGGAGAGGGAAGTGGGCTCTCGGAGAGCCCTCTGGAGAGAGGCGTCACCAGGGCTTGAAGTTTGGTAGATTGTTTGGGGAAGAAGAGAATGAAGGAGGTGAAGGCCATCATGAGCAAAGACCGGAAGTGGAGATGAACATGACAGGTGCTGGGCACTGGCTGCTGGGCACTGGCCTATTGGAAGCAAAAGGTACCTATTTGGGAGCAGAGAGAGGTGTCTTAGATAACAGAGGGCTGGAAAGTTGAAGGTATCGATGCACAGAAAACAGGAAGTCATGTGTTCTTGACAAGGATGGAATGTGATGCAGAAGGTGTTAAGGGAAGGTCATAGTTCTGAAGGAATGTGCAGGGTAGCCTTGGAGAGGGAGACAGTGAAACTAGAGGGACCAGGAGGAATGCTGTTGTGATAATACAGGTTTAGGGTGATGAGGATCTGAACTAGAGCAGAGCTTTGCAATCAGTCTGGGAGGTCACTTGGGGCTGGTGGGAGGGTAGGAGAAGAGGTAGATTTTTGTTTTTTCCCCCCCAGAGGTGTAGGAAGTAGAAATAGCAGAAGGAAAAACGGGAAAGTTTTGGTTTGGGATATCTTGATTTTTCAGTGATGGGACATCCAAATGGCGGTATTTTATTTTGTTTTATTTTAACAGCTTTATTGAAGTATAATTGATATATAATAAACTGCACGTATTTAAAGTGACAATTTGATAAGTTTTGGCTTGTGTGTACACCTGTGAAACCACCACCACAACAAGAGAGTGAACATGTCCATCACCCCAAAGGTTTCTCCTATCCCTTTGTCACCTTCCTGTCCCTAAGTGACAACTAATCTGTAACTATAGATTAGTTTTACAGAAGCTGCTATAAATGAATTATGCAGTACCTACTCTTTTTTGTCTTCTCTCATTTAGCATAATTATTTTAGGTTCACCCATGTTGTTCCATGGAACAGTAGTTCCTTCTTTTTGTTACTTACCTTCAGTCCGTTCTACCGGTGGCAGTTTGTAGATCATTTGAAGTCGGGGATGGAGCCCAGGTGCTGTGTCAGGGTGTTACCTGGGTTGGCATCCGTTGTCTAGCGGAAGCTTTAAGGCTAGAGAGGTGTTCAGTAGTGAATAGGGGGTATTGAAGAGACAAGAGGTAGATGAGAAAAGGAAATGGGTAAAGAATTACCATTCTCTGTGAAAGGTGATTTCATACATCTTGAAAAAATGGTGAATTTCTTTTTCAGTGAGCTTTTGAAGAAAGCTTGGGTTTAAGAAAAGCATGTTTTGGAGTTTTAAAATTTTTATTTTTATTAGTATGCTTTTTCCACCAGTCTCATTCTAAAATAGGTCGTTAATGTCTTTTTTAGGCAACAGGAGAGAAATCCTTTTCTGTTCGTAATAATGATGGGGCAGTTTCATTTCAGGTATGTATTCTCTTTCAGTCAATCTTCATAGAATTTCTCTCTACCATGTAAAAGGGTGAATTTTTATAGAAATTTTGAATTTAGGAGTAGTAATTTAGGTATGCTATGTGTCAGTCACTGGAATACAGTAGCTCTCTCCATAACAAACCTACAAGGTGGGTATTGTTACCCACCACTTATCAAATCATAAATCTCTGAGAGAGAATAACTCAGAGTGTTATGTTCAGTGTGAGTGAGAAGGCCCGGATTCCAACCCAGTTCTCCCTGGCTGTCCCCACACCTCTGCCTCTCCAATCCCATGCTGCCTCCCATTCAGAGTGTGTCAGAAACACAAACTTCTGCACCTGAACGGACCATTGTGATCTTTTAGGGTGATGTTGTCATTTCAGAGATGAGTTCACTGAGCCTTAGAGGCCTGAGTGACCTGCTCAGCTGTCACCATTGTTAACTGCACATGAGTGTTTATGGCAGCATCACAGCCCATGTGTGGGGTCGGGGGGAGGACACTGGACTGGATCTCAGAGCACATGTGCTAGCTGGTGACCTTGGACAGCTCACTCACCTTCTGAACCTCGCTCTTGAATGGTCTGAAAATGGAAAATGAGGACGCGTGTCTCATAGGGTTGTTAGGTGTATCATCCTTCAAAAATAAAAGTGCTTTGTAAAGCACTATACAAATAATCTTTTATCATTAATTTGTAAGGATCACTGTCTCTTTTCTAACCAGTTTTCATTAATTGAGGTATAATTTGCTTAGAGGGAAATGCCCAGGTCTTACGTGTATGGTTCAATCAATTCTGACAACTGCATGCACCCACATAACCCACTCTCAAGATTCTCTGTATTTTTACCATCTCCGAAAGTCCCCCACCCCTGCCTCTGCTATTCTGATTTCTTTCACCATAGATTCTTTTGCCTATCTAACAATTTTTATATGTTCTTTTAAGTTTAGTGACCGTCGGTATTAACAGCTGACTGAGAGCTTTTGGGGTGCTCATCTGCTCTGAATCCTCAACAGCTTCCCTTCTGTCTCAGAGTAAAAGCCCAAGTCCTTCCACGGGGTCTACAAACCTACATGGTCCAGCTGCTGTCAACTTTTTCACCTCAGCTCCTGTTTCTTCCCCACCCCCTGCTTATTACTCTCTTCCAGCTACACAGGCCACCTTGCTGCTCCTAGAAAAGATCAGGCCTTGGGCTCTGCTCTAGCTGTGCCTGCTGGAGGGACATTCATCCCTCAGAATCTGTGTGATCAATTTCTTCCTCCTTCAAGTCTTTGCTCAAATGTCACCTTTTCAACAAAGCTTCCTCCAATCGCCCTGTTTTAAATGCAGCACCCCCCGCCCCGCCCCTGGCTGTTTTTTCCCTTAGTGCTTCTTTCCAACATACGGTATACTTGTACTTATTTATTGTATTTATTATCTGTCTCTCCCTTTAGAAGGTAGCCATAAGGGCAGGGATTTCTATCTGATTTATTGCTGCTGTATATGAAATTCCTCATCTTGGGCCTGGCCCATAACAGGCCGCCCATCAGTCATTATGGAGATGAATGAGTGAGTCAGACATCGTGCTAAGTACTTACATGTCATCATTATGTCAGTTCATCCTCCCAACAGTCTGAATTAGGTACTGTTATTATTCTCCTTTTACAGATGAGGAAACTGAGGCTCAGAGAGGTTAAGTAACTTGCCCAAGGGGAGGGTTCAAACCCAGGTTTGTCTGACTCCAAGGCCCATGTGTTTAATCACTTTGCTTTACTACCTTCTTAAGAAAATACAAAAGGTACTTTTCTGTCTTCTTTCCCTCACTTTAAAATGTTTGTTAATAAAATAAGTATTTTGAATGTTTCTTTTTTAAGTCACAAAAGGAAAGCATTTATAGGATACACATTTGTCAGTTACTAGTGCTTTGTGTCAAGGTGAGTACTGAGGGGAAGGCAGCATTTGTGGTGATTCAGAACAGTTGCTTCAAACAGCCAGTTCATAGGGTTCTTGGGATGCATAGAACAGGCAGCACACAGAATGGGCAGCTCGCTTTCTCCCTGGCTTCCCCTCTCCTTGTAAAGAAGCCGGCAGGTGGCTCCTTAGTGTTCTGCTACCCAGTGTCCTCCTAGTTTTGGACAGTACAGTCATTCTGTGCTTTTCTGCTCCATCCACAGAGGAGGTCCAATAGTTTATCTACCTAGAGCTGGAAAGGGACTGTCAGGGCTTACCCCAACCCTAAAATTTTCATTTTTGCTTTATTTTGTTTTGTTCTTTTTCCTTCAAGTGTCAGGTGTCTACTCTGATCCACCATGATGGTTCTATTGATTTTTTTTTTTTTTTTTTTTTTTTTTTTTTTTTTTTTTTTTTTTTTTTTTTTTTTTTTTTTTTGCGGTCCGCGGGCCTCTCTCTCTTGTGGCCTCTCCCGTTGCGGAGCACAGGCTCCGGACATGCAGGCTCAGGGGCCATGGCTCACGGGCCCAGCCGCTCTGCGGCATGTGGGATCTTTCCAGACCAGGGCACGACCCCGTGTCCCCTGCATCGGCAGGTGGACTCTCAACCACTGCGCCAGCAGGGAAGCCCCCTATTGATTTTTTAAAAAAATATTTTTTAGAAATTTCACGAGAGTCTTACTTTTGTAATTTAAATTACATGTTTAGAAAAGTTTTCTTTTTGTGGCTACCTTGGGTAGACGGGAATACATGCTCTCACTTTATAGTGATGAGTTTGGGACATGGTTTAACGCTAATAATTTCAGCTTGAATAATTCTTGGTCTTTTCTTTTCGTCTTCTTGTCAGATGTCTCTTTTTTCCCCCCATTCTTTTAAATTTTGAGGTGTAGTACCTATAGAAGAGTGTATAGTACTTACGTTGAGTACAAGTAATTATAAACAATCACCTTTGTAACCGTCACTTGGGACGAGAACTAGAACAGTGCCAACACCCCAGAGCCCCCTTGTGGCCCTCATGCTCCTCTCAACTCTAGAGTAGCCCCTATCATGAAAGATGTTATCATAACCATTTCCTCACTTTTCTTCATAGTTTACCACCTATATATGTAACCCTAAACAGTATATTTTAGGCTTTTAGTAAAATGTTCTCTGGAATTGATTAAGGTGTCACATTCTGTGATCTTTTTATATATATACATTTTAAAATTTACATTAAACTTCATTTGAATACATGAAATAATGTTGAAAACAAAGAAAAATGTCTAAATGTAGAAAATGTAGCCTCTGTTACTGTTGTTTAAAATCATAGGGGTAAATTTTGATGAGGGAATACTGGTCCTTTACCTTTTCAAGTATCAGATGAAACTCCTTTCTTTCTCAGAAGTATTTTTTACCAAAGAGCAAAACAGTATGTTGGCTTGAAAACTAGAAAACTGTACCTTAGGTTAGCTCTGCAGACTTCTGCAAAAACCCATCACTGATGGATAGATACGTGATAAATCAAGTGTAGTAAACTGTTAATTGTAGAATCTAGGTAGTGGGTACATAGGTATTCACTGTAGAATTCTGTTAACCTTTCTGTTAGCTTGAAAATTGTTATAACAAAATATTAGGAGGGTATCATAGAATAAGAAAACGTCTATTTAAACTCTGCTCTGGGAGAGTTTGATTAATCTAAGTAAGCAGTCTGTTTTCTTCTGTTCATGGTATTTACGATTTATTTCTAAGATTTAAAAATTTAGCCGAGGATTTGGGTCCCCTTAAGTTTTTTTCTTCTTCACTTTCAGTTTTTCTTTAACATCAGCACTGAAGACCAAGAAGGCCTCTACAGTCTTTATTTTCATAAATGCCCTGGAAGTGAAATACGGTCTAGTGACAAGTTTTCATTCAGCCTCGATGTGAGTACCATACAGAAACTCCCATGTGGGTGTTGTCAGCCATGTAAAATGGGAGACAGTTGTTTCTTTAGGAGAGTAGTTTTAAGAACACTTAAGCCTGAGTAAGAGAAACATGTGGCCAAAATAACATTTATGCCAGTGGGCAGAATACTTCAGCAGAGGGTTCATAAATAAGAAAATATAAAGCAATTTAGGGTATGTTTACGCTTTCAGCCTATGCATTAAGAATGTGGTTGTTATCTGCTGGTACTCACTTTCTTGAACTTCCATGAAACAGATAAGATTCCAGATTGCTGAATATGGGATGATCTGTTTCTGAAAAGTAAAAATTAATGTCATGTTGGTTTCAGATCGAGATCACAGAGAAGAATCCTGACAGCTACCTCTCAGCGGGAGAAATTCCTCTCCCCAAATTATACATTTCTATGGCCTTTTTCTTTTTGCTCTCTGGGACCATCTGGATCCACATCCTTCGAAAACGACGGTAAATTATCACCTCCTTGAGCCCTTCATCCAAGAGCGTTCGGGGATTTACATAATTTCACCTTCTGCTGTCTTCTGAACCTGGAGGACTTGGCACTAGCGATCCTGTTTTCTCCAAAGGGCATCTTCCCCGAAACAAAGGGAGACTGTGCAGGAGCCTTGCCGCCTGGGAGGCCTTTGCATGCCTTGATGTTTGTTCACTTCCCTTTGCTTTGTTTAAAAAGCAAATCCAAATATTTCAATAATATACAAGCAAAATAAAATGTATAAGCAAAACATTTCCATAGCGAGGACACTGGAGTCCAGGACTCAAGAGTGAACACATTGGTCCCATTCAGGGGCTCTTTGTTCTTAAGAGATGAGTGACAACAGCCCAGTGCCTGGTGGGAGTATGGAGTTGCTGCTGAGCGCTGAAGGCCCCAGCGCAGAGCCTGGGCGGGGTAGATACTGACCTCCAGGGGATCATCACTCGAGAAAACCTCTTCAGAGCCCACCTGCCTGACTCTTGGCCTTTCTTCTGAAATCCCTGAGGCTTTAACTTCCTGTTCTTGGTACTTGATGGGAGCAGCGGCGTATGTGTGCAGCTAGTGTTTGTGTCCCTCCCCCTAAATGGAAAACAGTACTAATTTTCAGTTACAAAATAGTGTGAAGTGTTTGTTATAAGGCCTGTGAACTGTGTAAATGATGGTATGTGAATATGGTATTATAATATGGATTTACATTCAGACAATAATTAAGCACCCCCCAAGTACCAGATACCTCTTTCTGGAGCAGTGGGACAGATTGAGATCTCTTTAATCTCCGGTGGCCAGATTGTCTTCTAGTGGACATGTTCATCTCGGGTACTGGGCTCTGCTGGATATGGTTGCTGGTTCCTGTTTATTGTAAATCTTTTACATCCGCTGGATGGAACTGTGTCTTGTTTACTTGTGAAGAACCCTACATGGTTATGTTTGGACTGGAGATCAGGCAGCCATTAATAAGAAAAAAAGAATCCTACAGATTCAGGCCATAAAAGGTGGTTGGGGGCGGCGTTTGGTTTGTTTTTTTTAAAGAAAGTTTTGCTTTTGCCGTAAGTAGAAAAGTAAGAACTAGGAGTCAGAGACCTGATTTCAGGTGTAAATGCTGTGACTCTTACTGCCTGTGTGCCTTCCTTCACTCTAAGCCTCTTTCTCCTTGGCTACAGAACTGGGACAGTCATAACTGCCCTGCCTTCCCCTCAAAGTCTTAGATCCTTAGTTTTCTTATGTGATTCCCCCTGAAATGATGTGTACGAGAGTATTTTGCAGATCAGGGTGCTATGCAAAGATGAGGAACATACAAAATAGTTTAGCCAGATGTTCAGTGGTATTTTAATTTCCTTTTATTTAGTGATGCAACAGTCATTGTCACTGGTTCACTTATATAAAATCGTGGCAGCAGTTTAAAATCTGTGATTAAACAAGGCTGACCTACTTTGTACAACGTATTTTAAACTTCTTGTTGAAGTACAGCGTATATACAGACACGTATCATTTCAGCCCTCTGCCCCATCCCCGTGTTTTTTTTTTTTTTTTTGCGGTACGCGGGCCTCCCACTGCCGTGGCCTCTGCCATTGCGGAGCACAGGCTCCGGACACGCAGGGCCAGCGGCCGTGGCCCACGGGCCCAGCCGCTCCGCGGCATGTGGGATCCTCCCGGACTGGGGCACGAACCCGTGTCCCCTGCACCGGCAGGCGGACTCCCAACCACTGCGCCACCAGGGAAGCCCCCATCCCCGTGTTTTTCCAGGAGTCTCACAGCCAGCCATGTGAGTCACGTCACAGATGTGACTCCAGGGCTGCCAGCGCATTTCAGAGACTTGTAGCCCCTTATTGCTGGAGGGAACTGAGAGATTTTTTTGCCTCGTCTTATTGAGGCCTTGAGCGGGGAAGTGAGAGACATGGCTAGCATCCCCCGACAGAGCTGGCCCTGGGACCCAGAGTGGCTTGCTGTGCCTTTGTGGTTCTGTCGTGGGCCCCAGAGCACGGGGAAGTGGGAAGGGAATGCGGGCAGCTGATCGGTTTGGTACCTTCTCTCTGCCCAGCCAGGCACTGGGTGTCATGGCTCCTTGAGGCCTTTGTTGGCCCATTTTCAGCAGAGGTTTCTGAGGCCTAGAGAGATGAAGGTCGTCAGGGTGGAACCCGCATGTGAGCAAGGTCGGTGTGGCTCCAGAGCCCGAGATCTTTCCTTCATTCACATAACGGCCCAGCCATCAATGCTGTAACTTGGACTGTGAGTCTTGGTGGCCAGGGTGTTTCGTGAGCACAGCCCTTGACGGTTCTGCACTCTGGGTAAATCTCATTACTATTCGGGAGGGACAGACTACTCTGGCCTTGACTTCCCTTTCGACCTTCAAGTAGGTAGGCACTGGAGCAGGAAAGTACCAGGGAGGAAACCAGTCCGGAAACTGGGTGTGCGTTAGCTCACGACACGCCCTCCTTATCGTTCTGTGCAAGGCCCTCTCCTGTTTTACTTCCTGTCCCCTCTCCCGTTCCTTCCCCGCACGGCCAGCCACTCAGATGCGTTTAGTATGTGTTTTGGGGATATTTGTGTATTCTTGTAAACAAATAATGTTTATTGGTATTGCATGTATTTTTTAATGTAAATTTATTTATTTATTATTTTTGGCTGTGTTGGGTCTTCGTTGGCAGCACGTGGGCTTTCTCTAGTTGCACTGAGCAGGGGCTTCTCTTTGTTGCAGTGCGTGGACTTCTCATTGTGGTAGCTTCTCTCGTTGCAGAGCATAGGTTCTAGGCGCGCGGGCTTCAGTAGTTGTGGTGCACGGGCTTCAGTAGTTGTGGCGTGTGGGCTCAGTAGTTGTGGCACACAGGCTTAGTTGCTCCGTGGCGTGTGAGATCTTCCTGGACCAGGGCTCGAACCCGTGTCCCCGGCATCGGCAGGCGGATTCTTAACCACTGTGCCACCAGGGAAGCCCTGCATGTATTTTTAATTTATATAAATCGTTCCATCTGTAGGTATTGTTTTTGTACATTTTTCACTCAGAATATCCTCTTTAAGATCTAGTCACATGGCTGCGTGCACATCCAGTTCATTACTGTCCAGCTACTCCATGTCATCCACAGTGAGCATCCCCATTCCACTCACCCACCCCCTTAATGGTGGACCCCTAGGTTGTCTTCATTTCCCTGCTTCCCCATACTGTCATGATCCACCCTCCTTCCTGTCCCCGGAGGGGTCTGCAGCCTCTGAAGTACATTCTCGGAAGGAGGTGCCCTGGGTGTCAGGGAGCTCTCCTTTAATTTCGCTAAGTGCCACCGATTGCCCGCCAGGATGCGTGCCTGTGCCGGCTTATGCTCCTACTACACGTGTGCCAACACTGACACCTTACGTTTTGCCAGTGTGGCGGGTATAAACTGGTAGCTCATTTTCTTCTGCATTTCTTTGAATATCAGTGATATGAATTATCTTAGCAGGGACATGTTAACCTTCTGGGTTTTCCCTCTGTGACTGCCTGTATTTGCATATTTTTCTGTGGGATTTTCTGTGTTTTGTTGCTTTGCATAAGTTCCTCACATATTCGGATCTCAATCCCTTGCATGTCTTAGACATTGCAAATTTCTTCTCCCAGTTGAATTGTTGAGTAAACATCTTTCATACTAATCGGGTCACAGCTCTCCTTGGATCTTAAGAGGCCCATTCCTACTCCAAGATTACAAAATGTGTATTTTATGCTTAGCAGCAGACTCCACCTGGGTTGTCAGTAAGTGTGAAGCAGAGATCCAGCTTTCCTTATCTCTTGTATAGGTTTGAGCTAATTTTTTCCCAGTGTCAGTCATTAAACAGGCTACTCTTTTCCCACCGACTTGGTATCACCTTAACTATCAAGCTTCTGTACACACACGAATCTGTTTATAAGCCTTCTAGTCTATTATGGTGGTTTACTTGTCTGATGCGACACCCATTTCCCATTTTTTACTGCTGTGGCTTTGCAGAATGTCTTGATATCCAAGAGTGGGAGTCCCCACTGTAGCTCTTACTCAAGTCTTTGTTTGCTTTCTTTGATAGAGTTTAAGACTTTTCTCCATCATGGTTTTGTCTTACTAGGTTAATTCCTAGGATGAGGCGACAAGGGGTAGAGGAGTTGAATGCCTGGCAGCCTGAAGGTGGGCTCGTGCCCGTAGCGGGAGGTGGGGCAGGGGGTGCTTTGCGCCACTGTCCTGGTATGTTTGGCAGGTTCCAGCTGTGAGGGGGGAGAGAGGGGCACAACCCCAGCGCTTTCTCTTTGACCAGCCCTGCTGCCTGGCTCCAGATCCTCCTCTCCACCTGGCTACAGATTTCCCCTGTAGCTGTACCTAATCACCTCTGCCTTCTTGGGGATTTCACGCCATTTTCATAGATCCATCTGCCTCATTCTTGCTTCTGCGGGCTTTCCAGGGTGGTTTCTGGAGAAGAAGCTGGCAGCCGGTTTAGATTTCCATCTTATCAGGCCTGGAAACCCACTGTGCATAACTCGGCTCCATTCACAACATTGAATTATGTAGTAGAGGTGGCTTGGGACGCCATTGCAGGCCTTTTCTGCTGGCAGCAGCCACTTGTTGAAAAAGCTTCACGTTTGTGGTTTGCTTAGATTGTATTTACTGCCTCCTTATAAGTATATGATGCCTGGAGCTCCACCTGTTCTTCGGGAGTATGAAGTATTCCTTTAATTCTTTTCTCTCTGTTTTTACATAGGAATGATGTATTTAAAATTCACTGGTTGATGGCCGCCCTTCCTTTCACCAAGTCTCTTTCCTTGGTGTTCCACGCAGTACGTATTAGTATTTTGGGGTCATTTACGAAATGATGTACGATGCCTGTACTGTCTGGAAAAATGAAGTAGAAGACAGGACACATCAGATAAGAGATGAAAGAATACCTTTGTCACGAAGCCTCCTTTGGTCTGGGAGGGACTGGTCACGGAGATAAATCATCACAATCTCCCTAATACTAGACTTGAGATCTTCAGACGTTACCTTCAGACTCAGGGTATTCTCAGAACACTTGTTGGTGGGTTTTTTTTTTCCCCAGTCATTTCTTGAGATTAGTGTGCCACCTGCTGAATTGTTTCCATGACTTCCTTTATTTTTCCAAATATTCCCTCCTGTTCCCGTTTGATATGCAGTTCAGTGTTAGGATACTTATTTGAGAGAAAACTGATGCTCTAAAGATTGAGGCATAAGAATTGAGCTTAAGCTTTGAATATTTAGTACTGATGCAGATTGAAATGAGCCTGCCCATGGGAGTAAGATCACAGCTTCCCTGATTTGTAGGCCTACGAGGTATCCATGGGTTATGCGTGAGGGTGACAGTCTCCAGACATGTGCACAAGATCCTACTGCACTTAAAAATATTGTCATAGAAAAAGTAATAATACAGCCAGTTACAATCTCAAGAAATGACAATTATTTGGATAATTTCCCATTTGGGTGTAAGGTAAAAGATGCTTTCTGGAACCATGTAGATAATGAATGATAAGATTGTCGAGTCACTTTCATATCTAGACAGCCATGTGTGGGAGATGAAAGATGTATAAAGAAACTGATGTCAGCTTTGGGAGTCCTGCCTGGAAGCATTTGGGCCACTACTGAAACTGGTCACTTTAGTTAAAATGCACTGCTGATTTCAGGTAGCTCTAAATTTACAGATTTTTTCCCAAAGAAAACATAGTTGAAGCTAGGTGATTCCACGTAGATTTTTTTATTGACTTTACTGACTGATTTATTACGTAAGCAGCAAGGCTATGAAAGATAAAGCTCTTGACTGGGGCATTGAAAAGGCCTGTAGCATTTGGAGGTCTTTTGGTCTTTTTTTGTTGTTTATTTGTTTTTTGGTGGTTTTATACGTCATTTTATTTTATTTTATTTTACCTGGGCTACGGCAGTGAAAACCTGGAATCCTAACCACCAGGGAACTCCCTTGGAGATTTTAAAGAAAAGAATAGGCATCCATTTGCCAGAGTGAATCACCTGCCTCAAGAGAGGGGCCCTGGGACTTCGCTGGGGACCCAGTGCTTAAGACTCTGAGCTTCAAGTGCTGGGGGTGCAGGTTCGATCCCTGGTCGGGGACTAAGATCCCACGTGCCGCGGGGCTCGGCCAGAAAGAGAGAGACCCGGACCAGATGTTAGTGACATGGAACCCTTGCGTCAAGTTCCTTGTCAGGACGCAGGTTTCCTGACATTTGTAGTGCGCTTACAGGCTTCACTGTGCATCAGCAAGCTCAGTATTACGGATTGGGAGCGGGTGTCCCCCGTCATGAGGGTCTCTGGTGGCATTTCCTTTTCTGCTCTGTGTAAGGCTTGTCGTAGATGATCTTCCTGAAATGCACTTGTTTGATTGCAGATCGACTACCACTATATCTCCTCCCAGGGCTTCCCGATGGAAGGGTGGGCTGTGGTGTACTACATCACTCACCTGTGAGTATGCAGAGTGGCGCAGGCAGCCCCCCTCCCGCCCGGTGGCTTGCCAGACAGGCTGGGGTAGCCGTGGTAGGACGAAACCTGCCCCATGTTGACTGGCCCTGCCCTCCCAGGGCAGCCTGCCGGATTCCTGCCAGGCCCGAGGCGTGTGGCGTGCAGTGGCTGTCCTGACCTGAGAGCTCGGGGCTGTCGACGTGGTCCTGCTGATCAGATAGTGGGGTGCATAGCTAGCTAGCATGTGCCTGAAAGTGCTCCTCACTTACGGTGAATTGCCTGAGTCTGGCCACCTGTCTTTTGCAGGCAGTGCGTGAAATCATAGAACGAGCTGTACACTCCAACTCTCAGAGTGAGACGCTAAAGAGACCCGTTGGTGTCTGTTCATTTTTTTCCCTTGCAGCTTGAAAGGGGCCCTGCTGTTCATCACCATCGCACTCATTGGCACCGGCTGGGCTTTCATTAAGCACATCCTTTCTGATAAAGACAAAAAGATCTTCATGATTGTCATCCCACTTCAGGTAAAGGGACCCTAGTTCTGCTTGTCCTCGTTCTCTCTTGACACTTAGCTGGGCTCAGCTCCAGGCCTGCCTGGGAAGAGGGAGTCACTTCTCCTGGAAACCCCCGCTTCTGCCTCTGGGGTTGGAGACTGGGCCTCTCTTTCTGAATTCTGACAGAACCTAGACCTCAGGTCATTGCGCTGGGGGATGCACCACCATCTGCCGTCTTTAAGCCAGCATGTGAATAGGGTGCTGCTGAGAAGTTAGGGAATCTGTTTGCCTTGTAACAAGATGGTCCTGTTAGCAAAGAAGCTTGGGTACACGGTGAATTGACCAACAAAATTGTTTTTCCCCCCGGCATGCTGCACGTCTTGCAGGATCTTAGTTCCCCACCCAGGGATTGAACCTGGGCCGTGGCAGTGAAAGCGCAAAGTCCTAACCACTGGACCGCCAGGGAATTCCCAACAAATTATTTTAAAACTGAATGACGTCAGTGAGTTTCCACAAGGTAGAATATGAGACATTGGGGCAAACATTTATTAAATGCTTTGTATGTTTGGGGCCCTGGACTGAGGCCAACTTTATAAAATTGTGAGCCCCTCAGGAGAGGAACCTTGTCTTACGTATAACAGTCTTATTGGATATAGAACCTGGATGTAAGGGACACATCATAAACAGAGAGGTCCTAGCAGGGCTGCACAGCTCCTCAGCTCTGCTTGACCAGGGAGCTTCTGTTTGATAAAGTTGTTCTCATCAGCCAGTCATTTTGGAGCGCAGTGTACGTGTGGCTCGTGAGGGTGGGAGAGGGACAACATTCTGGGCACCCGGGCCGGCCTGCTCCACTCTGGTGATTGGCGGTTTGGCAATGCTTGCGGCAAAACCATCTTCACGTTCAATAATAAGGGGCACACGCTAGTGCCAAGTGAATGGTACAGACCAGTTGCTGTAGGTTTCCAACGAGAGAGTATTCACCCCAGTTCGAGTGATCTGGAAGAGCTTTATGGTGGAGATGGGCCTTGCCTAGGTTTTAAGGTAAGACACATGACAGAGGCAAACATGACACGACTGTCTGGTGTACAGTAGGTGCTGAGGCGCTGGGCAGGTCTTGGCTGTTGAGACACTGGGGCCACTTCTCTGCTGGGCTGAGTTCTCCAGCCTGCCAAGGTCTCAGAGCTCAGAGGCGGTGGGCCGGGGTGCTCCTCCCCTGCCGTCCTGCCCCGCCTCGCCTTCCCTCTAGGAGCCGCTGCCTTCCCCTTTAGTTTGACTCTTCCTCACATAGCCAAAACTGTGATATAAGGGACACATCTTCCCAGCTTCCCCCCTTTTGTTCCCCACAAGGTTACGTGGCAGGTCACTCAGAGGAAACAAGGCCATTTAAAAAACTAAATGTAAGGAAGTTACGAGTATTTAAATGTAAGGACTCGTCTGGGAAACCCTTGAGCATCAGCCTTCAAAAGTTGAAACTGTTTCCTTTTGGTCATGGGGAGCCACTGTGCATTTCTCAGTAGGGAGTGATGATGTAAAAATGGAGTTTCGAGAACGTTATTGGTGTTTGGTTCCACACCAGCACCTCTGGGAACATTTTGTGTCTCGTGTCAAGAGTGTGAACTAAGGACAGAATGGGATTAAGCATTTAAGCTGTTAGTTTCCCACTTTGTGTTCATGAACAGAGCCACAGATGCAGATGTTTAGGATGGACTGGGCTGCAGGAGGAACCCAGAGGCTGGGTGTCGGTGGGAGACTGAAATTTCAAGCTAATTTTTGCATTTGTATTAAGTGAATTATGGCTTCAGTAATGATTTAACTGATAAGTCCTAGATGGAAAGAGAAACTACCCTTCCCAAGTCATTGCACGACAGGTTTCACATTTTTGTAGAAGTGTGGAGAATTCCCTTTAGAGCAGCGAAGCGGAGTATTTGGGACCATGGACTCCGCGTGGAGTACAGAGGTGGGATTCTGATCTCTGCTTTCATACCTAGTGATAATCTTCGAGAGAATATCTCATAAATTATGTCTCCCTTATGCTCAATAGTGTCACAGTTTTTATTTATTTATTTATTTATTTATTTATTTTTGCGGTACGTGGGCCTCTCACTGCTGTGGCCCCTCCCGTCGCGGAGCACAGGCTCCGGACGCGCAGGCTCAGCAGCCATGGCTCACGGGCGCAGCTGTTTCACGGCATGTGGGATCTTCCTGGACCAGGGCACGAACCCGTGTCCCCTGCATCGGCAGGCGGACTCTCAACCACTGCGCCACCAGGGAAGCCCAGTGTCACAGTTTTTAAAATATTGCTCTCTCTGTTTAGCCAGCTGAGGGACTTTTCATAACATGCTAAGAGCTTAATGACAGGACCAAATGTACAAGGCACGTCCTTCACTTTGGAGATTGAAGCAGGCCGTGGACGCGGACGCACCTCAGTTCTGGAGAACCAAGCCGCGTCCGCTGTGGGGCAGGCCGACCCGGGTTATTCCTCTGAGCAGCAACGTGGCCACTCACCCACTGGGCTGAAACTGGCCCTCCTTGCCGCTCTGGTCTCTGATAAAACAGTCCTGTTATCTGTCCCCGAGAGCCAGGGGCCCCATGCGTGAGATCTCAGGCCTGAGGAGGTGGCTGAAGGGGATGTGAAGTGCCACCTGTTCAGCACCTGAGCCACTGCTGAGGCTGAAGGTGCCTACAGAGCAGAGTGTCCCGGTTGTCTGTGGCTGCATAACAGATCACCCTGTTATGACTTAGTTCCTTCACAGCCCAATGACTGTTTACTCTGTCTCACATTTTCTGTCGGTCAAATTCGGCAGTGGCTTACTTGGGTGGGTCTGGTAGGTCTCATGCAGTTCTAGTAGACGGTGGTGGGGCTGTCTTCACTTGCCTCTGTCTTCTGGGCTGGGAGGACTTGGTCAGATGAAGCGGGAACTGTGGGGACTCCTTGGGCATCTTCTCTCTCTCTGCCTGGGTTCTCCGGCAGGGCGGCTTTAGGGTAGCCAGACTTCTCGTAAGACCGGGGCTCCAAAGGTGTGTGAGAGCCAGGCAGGGGCAATCAGTGTCCTTTGCATGACCTGCCTTGGAAGTGATATGTGTCAGTCACAGTCACCCTCTATTGGTCAGAGCAGTCTCAAGCTCGAGGAGGCACGGAGACTGCTTCTTGATTGGAGGGAAGCAAAGTTCTGCAAGAGCACGTGGACCTGGAAACCGTGCTGTGGTCCCAGGTTGGGGCCCCCCCCCCGCCCCCCCCCGCCCCCGCATCGGGGCTGCTCTTGTAAAGATCTGTCCATGCTTTGGGGCCTCAGCAACATCTGTGTCCTGCAGGTCCTGGCAAATGTGGCCTATATCATCATAGAGTCCACCGAGGAGGGGACGACTGAGTATGGCTTGTGGAAGGATTCTCTGTTTCTGGTGGACCTGCTGTGCTGTGGAGCCATCCTCTTCCCGGTGGTATGGTGAGTGCCTGTGGGGAGGGAGGCCGCGTGTGCACCGTGGGCTTGTCTGTCCAGCCCGATGGCTGAACCCGCCGTTCCCAAACTGGTCAGAATCACACGGGGCATCTGTTTAAAAATGACAACTTCAAAAAAAAAAAAAAAAAAGACAACTTCCTGGGCCCCAGACTCACCTGAATTAGTCTCCAGGGGCAGGACCTTGGAATTTTTGTCTCTTTCAGGTTCCCGGGTGGATTGTGATAGCGCTCATCTGGCACAGGCTTTTAGCAGTTCAGACACTAGAGAAGATTCTTGAGATGAGAACTTAGTGGCAACATAAAATAGCAGAATGAATTTAAAGGGAAGGGAGTTGAAGGACGCCCATAAACAGCCTCATCTTGCCAGATTAGGTAGAAAGTGAGGAAGTTTATTAACATAAAACCAGTGATAGTTCTCAGCTCATAAACATTGCAGGTACCTTCAGGATGCTTTGCTTCACTCCTGGAAGTGGCAGGCTTTAGATGCGTGTATGTATCGTGCTTCGGTTGTGTGTAAAGACACGTTAGTGCCAAGTCAGTGGTTGATGAGAAAGAATGTCCTCCTGAGATCTCATCAACGTGAAGGAAATTCTTGCTTCATAGGAAGCACTTAGAGGAAGAAGGACTAAGAAAAGTCAAGCAGCCTCTTCATAATGACCGAGTTCTGTGGCTACTTGAAAGCAGTCATTTCTTTTAGAATAAAGTTTAAAAATACAGATTTACCTCCCTTTTATTAGAAGTGAGGTGTTCCACTCTGCAGTGCCCCATGCAGCGAATTAATATTTTTAGACTCCTGGGGTCGATCAGGTCATTCAGTTATTCTGATTATTTAAAACATGGTGCCAGTGGAGTGTAATCCTAATTCCGGCCAGTTATTTCGATTCACTCTTAACCCTAACTCCGTCATACATCACATGTGTACATGCATCAGTTCAGTAGATTGAGCAGACAGCTGCCAGCACAGGAGAGAGAGCACGAGTGAGTTTCTTAATCTCCACAGCCTCCCCGCATCCTGCCCAGGCTTCTGTAACAGGACGGCCAGCATTGTCTTCAGGTAGAAAGAGCATCTTATTAGGGAACAGAGCCTCAGCCCCCACTGCCACATTTGCACAGTAACATAGAAAGGACCTGGGGGATTAGGGAAGCCCCAGATGCGCTCTGGAGCTACAAGGGGCCATCTCCTGCCCTTTGTTAATTACAGCACTAAGGAGCAGATGCCAGATGGCAAGATTCTTCAAGGTAAACACTCTGAAAATGGCTGTAAAATGAAAAAACTCAAGTACTAGAGAGGTAATTTAAGAAACTGTATCAAAGTTTTTTTTAAACATTCAGATTCAGCCAGCTTTGGTTCAGTGTCACCTTTGTGCCACTTAATTTCACATGTTGTGCCATTCAGTTCTCACAGGTGGGCAAACTGCGGAGGTTTTAGAAATGACTTACTTCCAGTTGAGTAGAGAGTGGGCAGCTGTGCCAGGACTGCAGCCTGGGTCTGTGAGACCCCAGCCCTCCTCCCCCTGTGCCGTGTCTGCTTGTGCTGTGCCCTTCCTCCCACACAGTCCTTCCCTCGGTGCCTGTGAACTCTGCCTAGAACGCTGGTCTACAGCTTCTTTATGAACGTGCACGTTCCCCTGTCTGACTGGTAATTAGTTACCAGCACCTCGCAGCCAGAAAAGATTCCCTGGAGGCTGGCATTTTTTGAGCCAAGTTAGAAATCTCCGGTTGATGAAGTATCGAGTTTGCATGAAGCCTTGTGCTCGCAGCTCCTAGACCTGGACTTCAGAAGTCGGCCTGTGACCTTCTTATAGGGCCCTTTCTCTCCAGGTAGCAGGTGAACTCACTGAGGCTCCGTGGTCCCAGCTGTGCTGCGGCGGGGGCGTAGCTGTGGGGCTGAGAGATTAGGTAGAAAAAGATGAGGAGTGTTACTGTGTTTTGATCTTTCCCCTCACACCCAGGTCTCTGCCAGGCTTTTTTGAGCCAGCAGAGGGCATCTGTAACCCTCAGGCTTGGGCACCATACATGCTGAAGGGTTGATTATCAACAATCATGTTGTCTAGGGAGAGTGCTCTAAAATCCTCTAGTCCAGCCTTTTAAGTTTATAATCGAGAAATTCAAGGCCTCAAGTTACTAGTGCTGAAAATAGAGAGGAATGCAAATTTGTTAGCTAACCTTTTTGTTCTCCAAATGTTTATTTTTAGGTCAATCAGACATTTACAAGAAGCATCAGCAACAGATGGAAAAGGCAAGTTCCTTTTGGTGTTGGACGGCGTTCCCTAAAGCCACATGCCTGGGCACTGCTGAGGGTGGAGCGGGAAGGCCGGTGCTCAAGGGAGAGCCCTAGGGGCTTTGTAAGAGCAGCCCCGGGTAGTTTGCCGGTGAGGCAGGTGGGGAGCATTACTGAGAGCAGTTGTGTAAGGCCTGGAGGTGACTGCTTATCACCACTCGTGAGTGTGATCTTCACCTTCTCAGAACTGAGTCAGGAGGAGAAAATGTTGTCTTGGAAGGACCAGATAACACTTCACTGTGAGAACAAGGGGTGTTATGGATTGGGAATGGCTATGTGTAAAGCATCCCTTCCTGCTGATTTAACCCGCTTTCAAAATAGTTGTCAGTATTAATTCAAAAAGAGACTCATGCCAGAAAGAACCTCTGAAACTCTCTGATTTTTAAATGGTTGTGCCATTATAACCCTTTTGCATCTTCTTGATTTTCGAACCATGCCTCCTAAGTCTGAAAAGAAACCACAGAGAAAATGTTTTGCATTTCTGGGCTTATTTGAATAATGTCCATGACGACAGGCTGCCATGGGCCACACGGGGATTTCAGGCCACCTCTGGTTGAGGAGGCACGCTCTCTCAGAGGTCCCGTCTGCCTCTGGATCCATGAAATCCCACACCCAGTGCTGGTAGTAATGTTCTTTAAGGAAGATTATTCATTTGTTCTTGTTAAATAAAATTTTGTTGCTGACCTGTTTTCTGATAGTAAAAGTAATGTAGGTTCATTTTGGAAATTTTGGAAAATAGATAGTAGGTACAAATCTTCCTTCACATTTGCTATACAGTTAATATCACATGATTTTCTTTAAATTGAATTAACCTGACTTCAAGGCTTCATAGCAGTGTCAGGCACGATCCCAGCGTTCTTATTGAGAGCACAGTACTCGCTGGGGTATCTCCAGTTTGGGGTCCACAGTAGTTG